TTCTCAGTGAACTGTTAATGTGCTCATGTTTTAAGCCATAGGTCTGATTTTTCTGTTTTCTTGCTGCCAAAAATGTCCTAACTGATACAACCTGTGTGGACAAAGCATTGTTCACTTGGCCTGTTTCACAAGGAGTTCATCTTTAGGGCTGCCCCAGATAGGCATTGGAATTACCAGTTCTTTAAAAAAACTATAATGGAAGTAAAAGGATTGGGGGATTTTACTTGATTTTACTGCCCTCGTGCAGCTCAGACCTTGATGCAGTCCTCCTTGGTGTACTTACTGAACAAAGCTCTCAGCTCCCAGTGGCCGTTTGTTGTAGGGTCCTTAATCTCTACTTAGTCCTAGAAGCTACCTAGACCTGGGTTTTTTTTTTTTTTTTCCAGGACTTTACCCCCAAACACTAATGTGTAATTTCAAAAACAAAAGACAGACGAGACAGAGGAGCTGCCAATACCCCTGCCTTCAGCTCTCTCTCTATCCATATTCTATCTGAATGCTGCAACATAAATGAATGCAAAGGGACTTCATAGCTCAAGCCCCAAAGACTACAATGCATGCCACTCCTCTGAAGCAAGGATATTCTCCCACTCCCAGTCACTGTCATGAGCAGCAGCAGTCACCACAGGGTAGATCATGGACTCAGGCAAGTAAGCCGGCATCTAAATGTGCAACAGAAGTTTGGTCTTTTCATCGTTTCTTGGAGCAGTCTCCATTTAGGCATTCTATCATCTATTATTTCCAGATGTTCCTTGTGTTTTTTTCTAGTTTTTATTTCACAAACCATGTTTTGCTACTCTTAATCTTTTTCTTATGTCTGTGTTTGTGGACCCTAGAAAATGTCTCAGAAGTGTGATCATTCTTTAATTTTTCTTGGTGTCTTCTTTTTATCATAGCAGAGTATGGTGTCTGGATGTCATATTTAGGAATCTGGCTTTAATTTCAGGGTTCTGGAAACACATAACAAGTATCTCAATTGTTCTAGCATTACTTTCTTTTTATCTGTTTTACATAGTATATTTCATTTTTGCCAAAAATGTTATTTAGATATGTGGGTTTGTGCTACCATATACTTCTTTCTACCTTGTTAATAAGAGAGAAATATGCAAAACTTGTACAGTCACTTAAATCAATCCTAGTAACTGCTTCAAAAAATTCTAAGAACAGTTAAGCTGCTGTTAAAGCTAATACAGTGTTTTTCTAAATGGTCCAAATTGATCTTCATCAAAGTAACTTCCTCTTTTTAATTTGTACTATGCCATTTTAATTTGCTTCATATAAATTAGTTACTAATTGACTGTGAGATATTTGGAGTTTTTCTCCACTTTCTGTTTCCTCTCTTTTATAGTTAGATTGCCCCTAGGTCAAGTTTTGTTGCTACTCAGCACCTGTGAGTTCTTAGCATTCTTTCTTAGATTTATGCCTTGAATAAGAAGAGCTTTACTAAAAATATCTGTTTCTGCACATTGTCCCATAAAAATTTTCTTTGGATGCTAATGCATCAAGCTCTTACAGAGTGTAATGGTTACTTCACCTTGTTGATTTATTGTGGGTTTTTTGTTGGAACATTTTCATTCTTCCATCAGCTTACAAAAACCTTGAAACATCTGTGCAGATACATGCAAGTGAAAAGCACATTTAACTAATTTGTTGCTGCATATCATGTGGCAAATAAAATTCAAAGGCCCTCAACATTCCAGGCAGCCCCAACAGGGTACAAATGGCTTGTGTTCTAACAGTCTGTGTGCTAGCTGGTTATTTGAAATGCATTTCCCCATGGAAACAAGGTTAAGAGGAGCACTTATGTTTCTAGGTTAGCTCATAAAAGCCTGTCTCATCGAGAATAGAACTAAAGTTCTGTACATTGCAATGAATAAGAGCAGAATATTATAATAGTGGTAACTTAAGTAGCCAGAAAAGCAACACAATTGAGTAAGAAAGAAGCTTTCAAAAAGATGTGTTGAATGCTAATTGTCAAGGAAAAACAAACATAACTAGGTGGGGACGTAGAGAAATACTCTTATGAATCCCACAGGGACAATAGAAGGAAAAACACCACTAGTTTTACTTATTATATCTGTTTCTCTGTAAAATAAAAGTAAACAGCTTGATATGGTTTCAAGATATTCTTCAGTAAACATTTTCTAAAAATAATGAGGTAAAAGATGCAAATATAAATTTAATAAGAAAGTTTTAAGAAATGAAAAAACATCGTGGTATTTTTCTTGCTTAAATTGTATCAAAGACATTTTTTATTTCATCAAACAGTCATGATTTCAGTCTCCTTCAGTCCTTTCATTAATTGAATAGATTGAGTATTGATCATCAGTAGATGATCAATGATGATCAAGTGATGGGCTGCTGCAAGCTCTGAATTGGGTATAGCAGCAAACAAGGGACAGAAGTCTGGTTCGTTGGTTTATAGAATGAACAACGTCTGTGGCAGAGATTTTCCTGGAGAGATTTTCTTTCCAAGCAAGAAAGAGCTGAAAGAGGAAGAGAATTACTAGACACATGGATGGGAGAAAGAGCTCCTGAGAAGGAATGAACTGAGTTGGGATGGGAGAAGACACGATGGAGAAGGTAACTCCAGAATGTCGGACCCACTGGGGAGAAGAAAAGAAAGTAGAGGCGGACCTGAAGTGAGAAAAGTGAGAAGCAGCACAAGTAAAGGGAAGGAGTTGTTTGGCAGGATGGATGTTAGAAACTATAGGAAGTGAAGCACAGGGAAAGGCTAGACTGATTTTGCAGAGATTTAGCTCAGATAAACTACATGGTTTCAAACAATAAATCATAAGGGATAATTAGAGAAATGTCTAGAAATTTCAATTCAGATCTATTTCTTCACCATAAAATGTTATTTTATATTTGTTATAATGTGATAATGTATAATTATAAATTGTCTAGTACATTTGGGGGCACAGAGTTGGGAAAAGCTAAGTATCTGGGACCCCAAGAGACAGTGAGTGAATTAAGAAGTGGCCCCCTTTAGGGTGATTTGGAGCTGAGCTCACAAACCAACACCTTGCTCACCCCATGCATAGCTGCCTTGAATTGCAGGTACTATTGATGATAGGTCCTCATTTTCACTTTAAAGAGTTCTTAATATTTTTTGGAAAGATATTTAAAGAAGTTTGGATTCACCTAGTTGTACCTCTGTCCAGGTCCTGTGCCCCTAGAAAAATGTCCCACCGTAATAATCCCCTTAAAGGGCCACAGAAGCACAGGGGTTAAGAGCAAGAGTGGGGCCAGAAGGCCTGGATTTGAATCCTGATTCAACTGACACAGTCATTTCCTAGTTGTGTTGTGACTTTGGCCAAGTCACTTAACTTCTCTGGGCCCTATTCTTTGTATATACAATTGTATAATAATGGTGCCTAAGTCACTGGGCTACTTTGGAAATTGAATGGGCTAATAGATGTGAAGGTCTTGGAAAAATGCCTGGCTCTAACTAGTGTTAGCTTTAAAAAGCAAAACAAAACAAAACAAAAACCTAATTTTTAAAAAAAATTCCTGTACTGGTTCCTCATATTAACAAAGACAAGTGCGTATGTTGCTGTATGCACACTTACCTTCAAAACATTCCCGTAAATACTTGCCAGGCTGTGAATAGTTAGAAGCTGGCTCAGCCCCTTTGGCTTAGTGGACCGCCACCAGTGACTGTCAGAGGAGCTCCAAGACTGTCCTATCTAAACATGGTTCATTCAGGTCCTTCACTAGACCAAATGTGTTGGTTGCACTTTGCTATAGCAGTATTAGAAGCTGCATATGTTAAGTGTCCCTGGTCTTTCTACTCAAAGATGGTGATGATATTTATCTATATATGGATGTAGCTGAATTTCTTTTAAGTCAGTCCATGGAGTGGGGGAAATAACCTGCAGAACTTTCCCTTTCCCTTCTTTCCCTTCTTAGCAGAGACAGAGATGTCTTCCTTCTAGCAGAATTTATGTGGAACAAGAAACTGACTCTATAGCCAGGTCTGGTCTCACACAAGCCAGTGATGTAACCAGAGTTCATCCTTGGGACATTTCCCATCTGGGCTTTAAGCCCTAGTCACTATACATAACCCCCATAGCCCACCTATCCTCAGCTCTGTCTTAAGGAAATCTATGAACATATTTTAAACAGGTAAATATTACAGGCCCAATATACAGCTCCCTTCCTCTGGAAAGCCTGCCTGCCTCTTGTTCTTATGCCATGGAAGGCCTCCTCTACTTCCTGTCTCTCTGCATTCAGATAAAATATGCCTAATTGTAAAGGATTTTTTTGAGGGAGAGTCACCAGTAATGTAGTGGACATCAAATGGGATCAAAGTTGGGGAAGGAGAAAAGGAAGAAAAGGTAGGATAAAATCTCAAGAGCAACAAAGTAGTGGGGAGAAACCACAGGGAAAAAAGCATTAGAGAAAGAGAGGAAGGAAGAAAGAATGGAGAAGAGAGTTAACTACTTTTGTGATCAATGTCATGAGAAGCAAGTTGAACAGGGTAGGATTTAAGCAAGAGTCCACTGGCTTATTTAGGAAGTCAGGTAGGGAGGCTAACTAAAAACACCTTAGTCTTCAGCCACAATAAGGTAACAATATGCTTTGTTACACTGGAGGCATAGCAGAGACAGAGATATTAAGTCAGTAGAGGATGTGGCCCAAATTGTTGGTCAGGCAGGCTCTGGCTACTTAAGCCAATTAGCCAAAGGTCAGCACCATGGATAGTCCCAAAGGTGGTTACTGCGTAGACTCTGGAGAGAAGCAAAAGGAACTCTTAGTATTTGGTGATAGATTAAAGTATATATTTTTATTCTACCCCTGAGACAAGGCTATCTTGGTTCTGCCTATATACAAATACAACAAAACATTTATACTACTTACTAGTGCTAAATAATGACAAAGGAATAAGATAAAGCCCTCTGCCCTCAAGAACCTTTTTTTTTTTTCTCACATGCATGGTTAGTGTTTTATTTTTTGAAGAATGGTTCTAAATCATCACACTAAATCAAGCTGAAATGTAAAGTTTAAAATAGACAGTTTTATAAGGATAAGTTATAACATATTTAATGACTGTTCACTCTACAAAATCTTGATCTTAGAGCTTATGATACACCCAGTTGGCAGTAGCACCCAGGTTTTCCAAATAGCCAGTCATTTTTCTTTTGTCTGCATAGATTTCTTCTCATTAGCTGCCTTCTGCTTTTGTTGCATGATCTCAGAGTCCCTCTGCTTTCTCTGAGAGGTAGTCAAGCTATCCTCTTTTCTTTTTCCCTTGCTAATTTCCTGGGTTTTCTTCATATTTTTTTGGCGGGCAAGTTCTCGTTGATTTCCACAGGCCATTCCGACCGCCGGACGGATCCTGGAAGAGAGCGACACGGAAAGCAACGGCTCCCTCACAAGCCCAGCTGCCGTCACCACTCGTCGCTCGCCCAGCTGCCGTCACCACTCGTCGCTCGCGAAGGCTGAGCCGGCGTGGGCCCTTGGATACTACCCCTTGGATAAATAGAAATTTAAAATAATAATACATAATATTTATTGATCAATTACCAAATACCAAGCACATAATTCTTTTTTTTGAGACAGAGTCTCACTCTCTTGCCTGGGCTAAAGTGCCGTGGCATCAGCCAAGCTCACAGCAACCTCAAATTCCTAGGCTCAAGTGATCCTTCTGCTTCAGCATCCCAGGTAGCTGGGACTACAGGCATGCAACACTGTGCCTGGCTAATTTTTTCTATTTTTAGTTGTTTGCTTAATTTCCTTCTATTTATAGTAGAGATGAGGTCTTGCTCTTGCTCAGGCTGGTCTCGAACTCCTGAGCTCAAGTAATCCTCCTGCCTCG